TACAAAAAAAAATTTAGCCCAGGCTTCTTTTCGAGACTATGGGACTCATCATAGTATGCATCACCCATCTCATGCCCTTAAGAGTGGTGTATTCTCCTGACCAGGTGAAATGCACCCTCACCTCAGACTTGCTGTGTCCTCTGCATGACAAGCCCTCTGTCACCAAAGATGTGATGAGACTCTTGCCTGGCTGAAACATGGCCTCATGACTACTTACCATCCTTTAGGAATCAGGGGCTTTTTGACCACAAATGTATAAATGTTTAATTTACTCTTACAATAACATAGTAGAAAACCTAAATTATAGAATTATATATATATATGTACACACACACACCCATGATCTCAGTGATGGATAACAACTCAGAAAAACTCTGGCAATCAATATAGTGTATTATTAAGAGTATCTCTGGGTGTTATGGGTGATGCCATTTTTTCCTTTTCTTCATTTCCCAATTTATTTTCAGAAAATGTAGAAGTTAAAAAAAAAAAGGCAGAGGCAGAGGGCAAGTCCAGGGACCTGATAAGGGTTTCTAGGCAATTCAGCATTTGGATCTTACTAGGCATCTTAATTGTAAGCAGAAAGAACATTGATAGGAAGTTGAATGGTTCCTAGAATCTCCTAGAGAAGCAGGTGGGGCAAAATCAGGCCCTGCAGCTAAGTGGCCAAGGCCACTGTGTGAGGCAGCCTCTAAAACTCCCCCAGCGTTTCCTACCTCCTGGTATTCAGGCCCTTCTGCAATCCCTTCCTGTGAGTGTGGGCTGGACCTAGTCATCCACCTCTAATAAATGGAGTACAGCAAAAGTGATGGGATGTCACTTCTGAGGTTAGATTACAGAAAGAGTGTGGCTTCTTTCTTGCTCACCTCTCCTCTCCTCCTAGAGAACTCGTTCTCTCTTGTTATCCTTCTCGGCTTTGATGTTCTGAGCTATGCTATGGAGAGGCCCACACTGCACGGAACTGAGGGAGGTCTCTGGCCAGTAGCCGGTAAGGAACAGGCACCTGCCGGCAGCCACAAAAGGGATCTTGGCAGTGGATTCTCCCCTGGCAAGTCTTGAGATGACGGCAGCCGATACCTCAGCTGTGGCCCCGAGAGCACTTAAGCTGAGGACCCAGCTAAGCACACCCAGATTCCTGATCTACAGCAACTGCTGGGTAATAAAGGTTTGTTGTTTTAAGATGCTAAGTTTGGGTGTGATTTGTTATGCAGCTGTAGGTAACTACTAGGATCACCAACCAAAATCATGGGGCAGAACTAATACACTGAATATACCATTTCCAACACAACTAAGCGCAGACCTTATGCTTTCAATTCCATTATCCACACCATGGACACCAAGGACTCCTGCCAGAGATGTGCCCTTGAGCCCTAAACATAGCTGCCACCACTTCCACCACCCTTCACCATGATCACTAGTTTCTGTTTCTGATTTGATGTCTGAGGCAGGTTCATGTGATTGTTGGCATCTAAACCATGTGCCCGCACCCTAGCTCTAAAAGAGGCTGCAAAAGCACATGTCCAGCATTTTTAACACCAGGTGGGGAATTCCTTAAAATACAAGGATTGGGGGAATTCCTTAAACATGGAAGGAGCTTCATCTACTTGGCAGCCAAAAACAATGATAAAATTCTAAATATCATCCCAGACTACTACCTAGTCTGATCTCTAAACTTGAGCTCCAGGGACTTCCGGTGTTCTGCTTCCCAAACCATTATTGGCCCCCCTCCAGCATTCTGGACCTCCTCCTCAGCCACTGTCTCCCTCCACAAGGCCACCAGCATAGTCAGATTTTCTGAGAACTCTCCCTCTCAGTTTTCACATGCCCTCCCTGATAGCCAAAGCTCTTGACCTTGGGTACTGAGCAGAGTAATAGTTTCAATCAAGTCATTTATGTAATGAAAATAAAATCTGTATGAGGAATCCACACTTTGGGGGTTTGGATACTTAACACTTCATTTAATTTACAGAAGGATGTTTATAGGATTAAAAAGGTGGGATATAACTTCCCTTTGTATGAGTACGTATTTTATTTCTTATTTGTATGTGCTATTTGCAAAGTGAAACCTACACCTTTTTCTGTCCTTTCCACAATATAGAGGCAAGTCGACATATGGATATGTACATATATTATGAATATAAGTAAATATGGCAAAACAAGTTTTTGCTTTCTCCTGTGTATCAACAATTAACAAGAAAGCTTAGAATTAAAGCATTTACATCTATATATTGTCTTATTGACACAAAAGGCTTCTATAAAATGAGTTGATTTTTCTCTGTTTTAGAGGGCATTGGAGAGTAGCTATGGTGATATGGCAGCACCAGAAATAAGGTTCTCAATTAAGTGGTAACCAGACACAGTCAGAAACTTACAGACATCAAGTGAACACCCTCCTTTATTTATACCTTTTGGGCATAATGGCAGACACCAAGATGGACTTGCACACAGACACTTAAAATAATAGTGATAGCAATTTCCTCATTTGAAATTGCATCAAAATTCAGTATCTTTTTTAAATGTTCAATAGAACAAAGGTAATAAATGAGAAATAGCATCAGTGAGTAAGGAATAGCAATCCCTGAGTGATACGAAGGGTCCTGACACCACAGAGTGGCCAGGAGAGTGATGGTGATGAGCAGGCAGTCCTGAGTAGGTAGGGGGCCACATTAAGCTGCCCTCCCCCTTCCTGTAGGTGGGGCCGTGGGTAAAGGAATAAAGAGAGGCAGCCTTCTCAGAGCATCCAGAGCAATTTTCAGTCCTTTTAAAATTGAATTAAAAACCATGAGGGCCATATCTTCTCCACATTCCTGCTTCTCAAAAGATACTTTTTCCAGGCATATAGGAAGAAAAGCAATACAACAGAACATTGTTTCTTAAAGCCCCTTATCAATAGTGTTACTCCTAAGGAAAATTATAAGATACATTTCGGGAAAAGTTAATGGGACTTAAGGAACTTAGCTGTGATCCAGCGTAGATATAAACAAAGAATGTTCAGGTATCTTCTAGGCATCCCTTTCTGATCTATATACCATTTCATGTGGGAGTTAGACTCAAGAATTAGAATAATTGGCCCATAGTACATGGAAACATTGCAAGTTACCTAGAACTATAGTTACTTCTCACCTCCAAGCTGCATGGCCCCAGGAGGGTGGTAAAAACTCTGTGATTCACATCTGTAAAAAGTTGGAAGCTTGGACCAGATAATTAATGTTTCTTTCAGCAATAAAGGTCTATGGAAAATTCTAAGCTTATTATTTTTGTTTAAAGGCAACTTTCTGTTTACTTTTCAGGACACGCATATACATGTGTATACACACATATGACATATGTATATGAATAAATATATAGCAATGTGTGTTTGGAAAAAAGTATATTATAATTATAATAATAAATAATTTGTCTATTTCCAAAGTGGTATGTAGTGAAACAAATGTTGCTTTTTGGATCAGAGATTGCTCTGATGCTAAGGAACAGAGCAAAATTAGTTCTCTTGTATTTTCTGCAAATGGATGTGGGCTGGTCCATGGATCTAGGAAATATCAAAGTCTAGAGAAGTTACTACTTGCAAATGGGGTCAAGCAAAAAGTCCCTTGAAACACGCACAGTCCAGATAGCTACCACTCCTTCCAATGAGAGCCTCAGATATTGTGGCTCCAATCCATCCTGGTGCCCATCAGCCCCAGGACATCTGTTGCCAAATGACCCAAAGTCCAGTTATGTAGAAGGGACTCGGTTCCCATCAAATACCTACCTGAAGTTCCACTATGGAAAAGGGAAAGATTTCAACCAAATGGGCTTATTCTGTATCTAACCTTCCGTCTGCTGGCTAAGGACTATTCAGGAAATACGGAAACAGTTGTAGGGCTATAAAGATGACATTTAGCTTTCTAATCCAGGAATCAGTTTTCACCCAAAGAGTACTTTAGCAAGAATTCAGAAAAATTGGCCTTAATGTTATCTCTTGCATTATTTGGAGCTTTTATTCAAAATGCTTTCCTATATACAAATGCCCCACAATGCCTCTTTGATGGATTCAGTCTATAATTATCATTTGACTGACAGGAAAACAAGTTTTCATCAATTCCAAAAATGAATACTTCACATTTTTCCCATTTGCTGCCCTGCCTTAAAGACCGCATTTAAAGTATTGTTATGAAATGAGCAATAAATTTTCATCAGCCATTTCCTTGACTTTCCTTTGCCTCCTATGTGATATTTGTTTTTTTTGTACATACCACTTTTAGGTAAAATATAACCCAGTTTAAATATTAATGCCCTGCTTCTATTCCTTAGGTTTTTAGTCTCAAAACAATACAACTCTCCAAGGTGGTTTTAGTGCAAACACATAAAATTAACTGGAATTAAGTAGAATCACAAAGTCAGTGATCTGAAATCTCACATCACTTTCTGATTATTTCTTGCTTTAAAAATATTCACTGCAGGTAGTAAGTTTCCTCTCTCAGGAGATCTGCTTATAAAATGTCATTCTATTCACCTACTGCTCCTTTGCAGACACACAAGTCCTGTGGGCACTGTCTGGGCCTGTGCTCCTCTTTGAAGAGAGCTCTCACTTACATAACCAAGACGGACCAACCGTGAAGGCTTTTTTTTTTTGACAGTTATTGGAGCTTGAAATGGGAGAGAAGAATTTGAAAGAAATGCTTTCAGATATGGACACAAGGAGCCTTCTCCTCCCTTGTATCCCACGCTCCTATACATGCATTTCTCTCCATTGTGAACTATTGCACACTAAACTATTAAACACTTGGCTTACAGTATTGATGTTCTTGCTTCATCAAAACAAATCCCAGGGTACACAGTCAGTCAATAGCAAGCTTTTTCTGAAGGTATGACTATAAATAAATTGGAACCAGGTGCAGACACAACCCTTTATGTACTGACGCTAATTATTGTTCTTTTTGATAAAACAGGTTTTAGTCCTTAAGGGAGAGAGGGCTGAACTGGTCATTCTGCCTCTTACTGTTCCTTGAGGTCTTTACTTTCACTAGGATTTTGCCTTTCAGACTTTGAGGGCTTGGCAGCTGCTTGGTCTCTCCTGTGTCTGCAGACGACAGGTCCAGCTTGTCTCGGAATATTCCTTTCAGGTACTGAGCTATCTTCCTTTGCTGCTGGATGCTGCAGTGATTCTCGATAGAGAGAATGACCAGGAACCTGTGAGGACAGCAACAGTCTACAGGCAGCGGGGACAGGCAACTCACAGGCATTTTTAGAAACCATGGTGTATTCATTATATTATTATAATCCTGGTGATGGTATTTGTGAGAGGGGTGATGATTAAAATGCTTCCAAAATGAGATAAATGAGACATTTTTTTTAAACCCTCTGACCAAGTGTACTTTGCCAGGCATAATGGCTGAACAAAATACCCATTCACATGGGATAACTTAGTCTAATATTTTGTATCACACACAAAAAATAGTACATACATTAAGTCCCTTAAAAGAAAAAACAGAAAAAAATTTGAGAGATCAGCCTAAAGAAAGAACATGCATATAAGTGAAATTTTATGTTCTTTTTTCTAAAGTCTAGAAACATCTAAGAGACTACTGAATGTCATTAAATATAGATATTTACTCTAAAAACATATAATCAATACCCAATTGAAAATTACTGTTGAGGATAAAATACCATAATGGAATTTTGTGTTTTATAAGCATCCTATGTCAGGCATGTCAAAATCATTTGTATAGAATCATATACTAGTCTTCACCTTCAGAAAGGAAAGGAAAAACGGTGATCATTCATTCTCTGCAGCCCTCAGGCTCCTGCACAGACTGGGAGACCCCAGCAGAGGGATTGTCAGAGACAGCCCGAGCGGTTGGTGGGGAGGCAGAGAGGGAGCCAGGGCTGATGACCTTGTTTCACTGCTTAATTAAGGTTTATTTTTATTTTTTCTCTGTTACATCATCACATATCTTCTGCAATAATAGGCAACATATTTTTTCTAGAGTATACATACCAACATTTAAATTGTCTGATGTATCTGTGTGGAGAAGAAATTTTACTTCTGGGCTTATATGACACACCCAAGCTCCACAATATGGACTGTGACCTCCTGAAATTATATCCTACCCTCATTGGTAAAAGCTGATGCCAAAGGTAATATAAAAGATGAGCCCTTGTGACTGAAGTTGTTTGGGTAATCTGCCTATAATCTGTTTGCTCTTGTGTCCTCACATATTTCACCCCAGGGTATTAGAGAGAAAAATAACAAACTAGCAACCCAGAGTTGTCTATGCAATCACATCAGGGAGCTCGAACAATGATTTTTTAAATTGTCAATCTGTTTATAAAAAGCTTATTAGTGCCTAATGATGCTTAGTATAAAGCAGTGCTTCTCAACAGCGGTGGAGGGGGGGCGGGAAGGGGGATGGTGCAGGACCCCTCCCAAAGGACACTTGTCAATGTCTGAAGACACATTTTTGGTGGGCACAGTATGAGGGACTGCTACTGACAGTTAGTGGGTAGAAGTCATAGAAGTCAAGGATGCTGTTCAACCATCTGACAATGTGCAATATAGTTCCCCACAAGGAATTACCTGGTCCAAAATGTCAACAGTGTTAAGGTTGAGAAACCCTCCTGCTAAGACACAACTAAAACTTAAGGAAGAAAGGAAAAAGACTGAACTTTAGAAATGTGCTAAACAAGTGTACTGTTTTAATTTGAAGTGCTTTCCTCCTAAGGATTTCCAAATTTGAAATAAGCATTGTTGAGTCACCAGAGAATCTTTTAAGGTATACAGGTAGCAGGTCTTCTCAACACCCCACTTTGCATATTGGAAAACAAAGGCAAAATCTTGGCTAAGACTAGTAGCAATCAATCAGGGTAGAAAAGACCCATCAGAATTCAGCACCTGAGAGTCTTCCACACAGAAGTCACTACAAACTAAACGTGCCATGCGCAAGAGTCTCGTGCTAAGAACAGCATGTTAACCTCATGATTAATTAGAAGACCAAATATTAGAATTTTTAAAGGCTACTAAATTCTATATAATTTATTTACATAATTGCAATTTTAATTTGCTTCTTTTAGTTCAAAATGCCTTTCTTGGAGATTTCAGAAACTTGCTAGACAATAAAGAATGAATAACACGTAACCCCATATTTTCAATGAGTTCATGGTTTTAAAGACTTAAAAGAAGGCAAGTAACCAACAAGTTGTGAGAGAGTGCTATATGATTTGATAGAAATATGCTCAGGGTGCTAAGAACAGAGAAAAAGAATTTACATTAGCTGGGAGTGTCAGTACATTTGCCAGAGGACAGTCCTTAAGCAGTCTTACAGGATGAGCAAGAATTAGGTGGGTAGAGTAGTGGGGAAGGGTGTTGCAGCCAGAGAGAACAGCATATGCGAGGGCAGGAGGTGGTGAAGGAACTGGGATCACTGGGGAATCCAGAAGACAGCCAATGAAAGGAGAAGCCTAAGTCTCTGAGTAGCAGTGGCTGAAGACAGCATGGAAGAGAAGGAGGGGCCAGGCCTTGACCAGCATGGAAGACACAGCTCTGTACTACAGGGAGCTTTTGAAGGGCTTTAAGACAAGAATTACACTGTGCTTATATTTCCAGACAGAAAAAAAAATGTACCAGTCTGGAAGACGAACAAACAGGAAGTGAAAATGAAGAGAAGGCAATGGAGTCAAAAGACAATTGAAGTAGAATTGACAAGAACTGGCTCAATCCATAAAGACTTCCAGTTTTGGGCTGAAGCCCCTGGTAGACAGTGCTACCCTTAACTAAGAGGAGACAGAGCAAGAAGAGGTTTGGCAGGATGAGATGCTGACTTCAGTCTGGGGTGTAAGTCCCAGGATGGTAGGAGCCGCACCTTTCGTTTAGTGCTGTGGCTCCCGGCACCTATTATGGCATGCCTGGCTTACAGTAGGCATGAATAAATACCTAAACAAATAATGACATTTGTTGATTCTGAAGTACCTCTGAGATATTCAGATGCATTTCTACTGAGAATTTTCTATATAGCTCTGAAACTTAGTTCTGGACTCATAATTAGACAAATAACCAAGAATAGACCAAGAGCAACAACTTAGAAAATAGTGACTATTACAGGAGTAAGAAAATGGTATAGAAGACCAGACCAGAGGCCAAAAAAAGTGAGAAGCAATAATAGCAATAGAGGACAGAAAGTTCTAATAAAATTCCCCCCCAAAAAAAGTATTGAGGATAAAATAGTCACCATTATCAAATGCCAAGGAGAGGTCATGTAGCACAAGGTCACTAGACATTTCAATATATACATGACATCCAGCAATTCTGGAAACCTTGATATTATTTTACTGTATTGTAATACAATAGCAATAAACTCTTTATTATATATAGTGACCTGTATTTCCAGATTTCATGGACACACTATATATGCCAGGGTTGGAAATTTTGAGGCCACTCTTTGTAAGAACATGCTTTGAGGAGGCAACATCTTAAGAGGATGTAAGGAACAACATCTTAAGAGGGGTAAGGAATAAAAGGAGCATGGGAAAGTACAAACATGGAGCCCACATTATTTGTTCACAGTGTTTTGTTGGAAAGGAAGGAAAGAAGTAGGGTAGCAGAAAGGGCAATGCAGACTCCAAGGATGAACGGCTGGTTCTGTAGCCATGTTACACCAGCTGTTGCTCTGTGTGCCAGCTTAGCTCCTGGATGTTGCTATACTTACTCATTCTTCACAAAGGCATGCTTGTTGATGGTCTCCACAACATCTCTGAAGAGGATGTTTGAAGTGAGAGTATAGCCATCGTGTACCACTGGCTCTCCATCTGGGCCATCCCAGCAGTCAACTGCCAAAAACAGAACTTCACGTCAACAACCCAAAGCTTCTGGTGTTCACTAATATTTCTGGAAATATCAGACAAATACTTTTAGTTTATTATTTGAGATTATGTGTATTATGATCATGACAAAGATGTCAAAGAGAAATGGGTGTTCTGGCATACTTATCACAATAAGGGAATAAAGATCATAAATGATTGGTTTCTGAGCATTTACAGTTAACAAAGATTTCATATTCACAAGTAGCCTAGCACTTATGGAGAACTATCATTAAAAACTGATCTAAATCCAATCAAGTGTACCCAAGAATAGAGACATTTCTTAACATATTGTTTATCTAATTTCAGCTCTTCTTCAGTTTACTAAGGCCTTTTAGTGCTTCACATTGGCCTGCTCAACTCAATAAGTCTTTCATTACTGTTCACTTAAACTCATTATGTTTCCATTAGATTTATTTCCATTTTATTAATTCCACAATAGTTATAAAATAAAATCGCCTTTCTAGGTTCAAATCCTGAGGCCCTGCCAACATTTATGTGAATATGGGCAAATTTTAAAAGCCCTGCTTCCCCATCTATAAAAAGGAAATGATGGTAGCACTTGCATCATAATTTTGAGTGTTGTACACATAAAGCTGCTTACAATACCACCTGACACATAGTTACTATTCTTATTATTGATGATATTAATATTGCTATGTGCATGGACAACCTCATTGGCTTCCTGCTGGAGAAAACAGCTTCCTCACTATCCTCCCTCACTTAAGAGTTTGCCTTCCCTTGTTTTACGCTCTGCCACTTAGACTAATTTCTCAAAACACTGCTTTCACAATGTTGTTCCTTTGCTCAAAAGCCTACTCTGTGCATAACCAGCATCCAACACATACACAATATGTAGTCAATAGCTATGTGCTAAATTTATTAATGAATATCCTACAGTAGCCCCTGCCTGCATGATCCAAGGTCTCTATAGCTTGTGCTAGAGGCTGGCTACTGTTTGCTAAGCCTGTATTCTCTTTTGCCCCAGCACACAGCTGGACAACATTGCCCAGCCTCCCCTTGCCATAGGATGTGGCCACTGCAATGTAAGCAAAAACCATGTGAATCACTTCTAGGTCTGGTGTATAAAAACCTGTCCTACACAGTCACCCATACTCTCTCCTTTTCTGTGACTTTAAAAGGTATATATTGAAGGTGGCATAGCCACAAGATGGAGGAGCCTGGACCCCTCAATCACTGCTTAAAAGACTCATCCATTAGGAATACCTATTTTGGAATTTATTTAAGCAAGAAGGAAATCTGAGTTGTTTTAGGACTCTGAGATTTCAGGTTTAACTGTGAAAGGAACTGGTGTTGCCTGACTTATTTTCCTAGCTCCTGTCTGACAAATCAACCTTATTTTCTCCTGCATACATTTGTTCTCCTAGTTAGGCAAGTTTTCTCACTTACAACCCACTCCTTTGCTTCTTCCATTTAAGATCAATTGAAATGTTTTCTTTCACACTGCTTATCTAAACCCCAATCAAGGCTAATATAGGTTCCCCCAAAAAACTTTGCCGACTCTCATGACATCGCCCTTCCTTATGATATGGGGTCACAAACTCAAACACCAAGAGGAGCTAGCAGGTGTACTCATTTATGTTACTGTTCGGTAAGCTAACAATTACCAGCAGGCCAACAGCAAGTATGTGTCAAAAGGAAATAACTACTTCAAACTGTGAGTCAGTCACTGCTAAGTGAGAATAAGGACCCTGGTCACTAGATCTGAGAAAAGTAAAAAAATCTACATCTTCCTGCTTTGAATTTTCCCAATTTTTTTAAATAGTGGCAATTAATCCATTTTTAAATTTTACAATATGGCCAAAATCAAACAATTCTGCAGGTTGAATTTGGCTAATGGAATGCCAGTTGAAACTCTGCTTTTCAGTTAAGACTACACCTGTTCTCTATTTTAGTAGCACCATCCTTAAATGTGTGCTTTGTATATTATCCCAGGAGATTATATCTCCCATTTCCCTCCAAAACTTTTGTTATGGAAAATACTGGAAAACCTGGACTGGGTCACTGACGGAAGAACCAAGTGGCACTCGGAGGTCTTGGAGTGCTGAGGTTTATTTCACACCAGAGGGCTCAGAGGGGAGTAATCTCCCAAGGTCTGAGCCCTGAGCACAAGAAAGGGGAGCAATTTATATTATTTTGTTATGTGGCANATGTTTTCTTTCACATTGCTTATCTAAACCCCAATCAAGGCTAATATAGGTTCCCCCAAAAAACTTTGCCGACTCTCATGACATCGCCCTTCTTTATGGTATGGGGTCACAAACTCAAACGCCAAGAGGAGCTAGCAGGTGTATTCATTTATGTTACTGTTAGGTAAGCTAACAATTACCAGCAGGCCAACAGCAAGTATGTGTCAAAAGGAAATAACTACTTCAAACTGTGAGTCAATCACTGCTAAGTGGGAATAAGGACCCTGGTCACTAGATCTGAGAAAAGTAAAAAAATCTACATCTTCCTGCTTTGAATTTTCCCAATTTTTTAAATAGTGGCAATTAATCCATTTTTAATTTTTACAATATGGCCAAAATCAAACAATTCTGCAGTTGAGTTTGGCTAATGGAATGCCAGTTGAAACTCTGCCTTTCAGTTAAGACTACACCTGTTCTCTATTTTAGTAGCACCATCCTTAAATGTGTGCTTTGTATATTATCCCAGGAGATTATATCTCCCATTTCCCTCCAAAACTTTTGTTATGGAAAATATTGGAAAACCTGGACTGAGTCACTGACGGAAGAACCAAGTGGCACTCGGAGGTCCTGGAGTGCTGAGGTTTATTTCACAGCAGAGGGCTCAGAGGGGAGTAATCTCCCAAGGTCTGAGCCTTGAGCACAAGCAAGGGGAGCAATTTATATTATTTTGCTATGTGGCATTTCAGCACGTGCAAGGCAAAAGAGGAGCCTGAAGGAGGGGAGCAGGGAGCTGGGAGTGCTTTGCCAACCAGAGGAAAAAAGTGGTTTGCTGACCTTGACGGCTGTGTTGAATATTTTCCTTATCACTTCCAAATTGTTCAACATAACCATGATGTCATCTGATGGTTAATTTTATGTGTCAGCGTTTTTAGGTAATGATGCTCAGTTGTTTGGGCAAACACCAGTCTAAATGTTGCTGCAAGGATATTCTTTAGATGTGATAACATTTAAATCAGTAGACTTTAAATCAGATTACTCTCCAAGTGTGGGTGGGTCTGACCCAGCCAGATGAAGGCTGCAACAGCACAGACTACCATCTTCTGAAGAAAGAATTCTCCTCAGGATTATAACACCCATTCCTACCTAAGTCTCCAGCCTGTTGGCCTGCTCTGCAGACTTCCAATTCGGCAATCCTCATGCTCATATAAGCCCATTC